CATAATACATTCAATTTTTCATTATGGGGTAGCCAATTCTTTCATTTTAATTTTTAAAAGTGTATCCTAAGTTATCATAAAGCACTTCAAGCAGAGACCCTTAAACCAAAACCTACTTTCCTGAATTTCTGCAATGTATTGATAATTAAAACTATAATCTTATTTCACTATAAACTGTGTTTAACCTAAGAATAATTGTCTGTTAGATACCTCACCTTATTATTCCAGTGCTGGGAAGACACCAAATAGTTTTCCTATTTTAACTGACAAATTGGACTTCAACCAACATTGAAAACTTTTGCTTGCCTGAAGACACCATTAAGAAAATGAAAGGCAAGATTGGGAGAAAGGATTCACAATATATAAATCCAACACAGGTCTATATCCATAACACAAAAAAGAATTCTCAAAACTCGGGAATAATAAGGAAAAAAAGTCAAAAGATCTGAACAGAGATCTCACAAAAGAATACACATAAATGATCAATATGTACATAAAAATATGCTCAACACATTCAGCCATCAGGGAAATGCAGCTTCTTGTAAAATTCAACACACACTTATCATTCCACCCAGCAATCCCACTCCTAGGCATGTTACTAATAAGTCTTATATCTTACTTGTTTTATCCTTCTGTGGAAACATCATTAATCATCCACTCAAACTTATTTCCTCTTCTTACTACTTAAAAAAATCCAATTTTATTTGGGAAGCAAGGTGCCCAGATGTAGGGGATAAATCATGATTGGTCCTAATTCTGATAATCTCATTCCTGTTTGCCAGTGGTTACTGCAGGGGGTGAACATGTAACCTACTTCTGAAAAATGGGCTCTTAAGAGGAAGTTTTCTGGGAAAGATTTTTCTTCTTAAAAAAAAATCTTAAGTAGAAAAAGCCCTTTTTTTTTACCTCCTCTTTTCCTGCTTTGGATGTTGATGTGAGAATATGATGCTTGCAGCTTGAAACCAAGAGGGAAAAGCTAACATGTTTGCCTATTTAGAGATTGTTGAAACTCCTGAGTCAATCCTAAAACCTCGTGCAGACCTTCTATCATGTGAGTCAATAAGATTTTATTGTTTAAGCGATTATTGTTGAGGTATTCTGTTATTTGCAACTAAAAGCATCCCACATAATACACCTCCTACTCCATTTCAAGAAAAAGGGCAAAAGACATGAAGAGGCATTTTACCAAAGAGGAGATACAGATGGCAATAAGCATGTGAAACATCACTAGCCATTAGGGAAGTGTAAATTAAAACACGGTTGAGCTATTAGGACAGCTAAAATAAAAGATAGTGACAATACCAAATCCTGGCAAGGATGCAGAGAAACTAGATCTCTCATACATTGCTGTTAGGAATGAAAAATCATGTAACACACTGGAAAATACTAGGACAGTTTCTTTAAAAAGCTAAACATATACTTACTGTATTACCCAGCAATCACACTGCAGAGCATTTATCTAGAGAAAAGAAAACTCATCTCCACATAAAAACCTGTAAACAAATGTTCACAGGAGCTTTATTTGTTATAGCCAAAAAGTAGAAACAACCAAAATGTTCTTCAATTGGTGAATGGCTAAACTATGGTACATCAACACCATGGCATAATAATCAGCAATTTAAAAAAAAATCTGGAAGGTCAAGTGAAAAAAAAAAAAAAGCCAATCTCAAAAAATTATATACTGTATGTTTCTATTTATATAAAATTCTCAAAATGGTAAAATTATACACATGAGAACATATTAGTGGTTGCCAGAGGTTAAGGATGTGGGATGGGGAGTAGGTCATTATAAAAGTAGGCTATAAATAAGTAGAATGAGGGGGATCTTTGGGGGAGTCTGATAACATGTTCTGTATCTTGACTGCAGTAGTAGTTACATGAATCTCAACGTGTGATTAATGGCATAGAACTATACACATTGTACCAACACTAGTTTCCTATTTCTGATACTGTATTATGATTCCATAAGATGTAACCACTGGGGAAAACTGGGTGAAGGATAGATACATGGATCTTCTTGTACTATTTTTGCAACTTCCTATGAATCTATATTTCAAAATAAATGTTAAAAATACATAATAGGGCTTCCCTGGTGGCGCAGTGGTTGAGAGTCCGCCTGCCGATGCAGGAGACACGGGTTCGTGCCCCGGTCCGGGAAGATCCCACATGCCGCGGAGCGGCTGCGCCCGTGAGCCATGGCCGCTGAGCCTGCGCGTCCGGAGCCTGTGCTCCGCAACGGGAGAGGCCACAACATTGAGAGGCCCGCGTACCGCAAAAAAACAAAACCAAAACCAAAAACAATACATAATAAATGCCTCTTATTATGTAAAGAGTTAAATATAATAAAGCAATATGATATTTTAAGATCTGTGGTTTACTGGGAAACACAGCAACCTAGCAAGGGCAACACAACAATCTAGCCAAGACAACATACAGGAGGCTTTCTTAGTTTTATCGACCCATTATGCAAAGATTTATAGATTCAGCTGTATGAGAAATAGATGAGAAATGTATTTTCTATTTAATTTAATAAATATTTTATAATTCTGTGAATATTCTGTATTATTTAGACCTTAGACTCTATAGTATACAATTGATGGTTTCCTAGACCATCCTAGCCTGGTTTCCTAGACCATCCTAGCCAATGTCAACTCATAAGAGGTTACGAGCTAAAAGCTTAACTTCAACTCCCACCCAAATATCAAACACATTTATGTCCTTATAATGAGTCCCACACAATCTTATTGATCATCATCAACAAAATGGTGACCAATTCTACTATGATCAGTGGAACTGAAGATAAAGTGTGATGTGCTAACTTATGACGTGTAAAGCCTTTTGAATCCACAACTGGATGAAACAAATCTACATCTCCAAAGCACACAACATCAGCAAAGACATGCTCCTTTGCAATTTTTAATGGATAAAGTAAGACATCAGTAGTTTTCAGTGGAAAAAAAAATGGTTTGATCACTTCAAGAGGAGAATCTATAATATCAGAATCACAATCATCAATAAAAATATTCAAAAAAATTAAATTTTAATTAAATTTTAATTAATTTTAATTACTTAAAAGTTCTTTGGGCAATAAAGAATGCCTATGCTTGCCTGTGGGAGATTTAGGAAAACAAAGTGTATAGTTTAGATACAAATATACACTGCACTCAGAATTAGAAAGGTCTCATTCAATCCTGCCTGTGCAAGAAAATGACCCAAAAGGAATATTTATAATATAGCTTTATATTAAGAGTTTGGTTTTATATTCTAATGTTTATAGAAGTATATATTTATATTTTTAGTTATGGAATGAATTTTAGTATCTTTATGGTAGGAAATGGGTTGTCTGAAACTGAACCTCAATTTATAACTGACACTCAAAAAACCAATAAATGAACTTAGATAAAAGGAGCATTTTCATTATATACTTTTGGGAAGTGGATTTAGGAGGAGGAGAGGAATATTAATTTTAATAAGGTATTAAAAGCACTGATAGAATGAAAAATTCAGAGAGGTACAGGTAGGAAAATAGAACACTGAAGCCTAAAAGGGATAATATTCCAAGAAGGTGAAAACTGTAAAAAATTCTATAACTAATGACAGAAAAATCCAATGGATATGACAAAGTGAAGCAAGAAAGGATGAAAGTAGGGAAGTTGAAGGTCTAGAAGATTAGGTAAGAATACATGTCAAGTTCAATAACTGTTATCACTTAGTAACTTATCACAAGTAACTTAAGATGTTTAGTGGTCAGAGAATATGTGGTAAGTTCAAGCTTTTTGGGTTACTTTTATGAAATGACTTAGTCTAGGACATGGCTGTTTTAGTGAGACACATAGGAGGAAATGGGTAAATCAAGTGAAAATGGAAGATGTCAAAGATGAAAAAGGATAGGGTGTCCAAAGGGTCACATCAATGGATGGTGAAGTGACAAAGGATAATGACAGAGAATGGGATAAAGAAGTTTTGTCAGGCAATGCAATAATTTGAGGAACACTAAAAAATATATTTGAGGCTGGAAGAGATGGCCAGGAAGAGGGAGAAAATCTTAATAATGGCACCGCCTCTGTATCTTTAAAAATGACATATGTATTTGAGTTTTACCATAAAAATATCTGACTAAACAAATGGATGCCATTCAGGAAGACAACAATTATGTAAATCAACCTGCCACAGGCTAAACGAACATCCACCACCTTAAGTTTCAAGAAGGAGATGATACACTCAGGAGAAATTATGCTTGTTCTCTAGAAGCTTGTTTTAGATTCAAAATGAAAGAGTTTATAAAATATAGCAAAATCTAAAAATATATATATTTAGATACATATAAAATAGAAAGACATGCTGATTGAATACAATTTCATATAATCACAATACTTAAAATCGTTGAAAATTTCAATTTTGTTTGAAATTGCTTTTTCTCTAGACTATGGCACATGTTGAAAATATTAAGCCTTGAACTACTGTATTCAAACCACTCAGAGCTTTTCCAGTGCTAATAAAATAGCTGGTGTTCAATTTTAGTAACATAAAGAAAGAGGTTTTGCCTTAGTACTACATGACTTTCCTTGAATCAACCTAAAACCTCCAAATATGTCATCCAGTTCAGTTATAACTTGTACTTTATAATGGTTCTCATTGACGCTAGGATGGAAAACTTGCAGTCTTTTAAAGAGACTGTAAATTAACTAAATTTGATAACAGTAATCCATCAAAATTTAGTTCCACACCAGTGGACATTTGCCTCACATTTGGAGAGTTAATGTTGTGAAACTTGTTCTTAACCAACTTTAGATTTCCATCTCTCTACTTCCCCTTGGTGGAAAAGAATTGTTTCTAAGAATAAGTAATGAAGCCTTCTTTATTTATTCTCTGGGAACACTATTTCCACTGCAATAAAAAACAAGGAAAAAGTTACCCTTCTTCCTTGTGTAAACCTTCATTTAAAATGTTACACCTGTCAGGCTGACAGTACAATTTAGATATCAACAAATAATACTTACCAATACATACATCGATCTTTCCTTTAATAGCAGCTTCATGCAGAGGGGTATAGTTCCAGTTATCCCTGGCATTTGGATCAGCTCCTTGGCACAGTAACAGACTCACAACCTCAGCATGGCCAAAAGAACAGGCATTATGAAGCGGGATGAGACCGCCATCATCACGAGCATGGACATTAGCACCCATCTGCAGTAAGTGTTCTACGACATCCTTCCTTCCAAAACCTAAAACGGAAGAGGGAAAATATTTTATACTGTAAGTCAATTTTGTAAAAAGAACCATTAGAATTCCTTTAACAATATCAACAAATACGAACAACTGAAGTACTGTGTTCTATAGCAAAAAGGTTAAAAAAAAAAAAGTTGCCATTCAAATGGATTCTCTCATCTCACAGAACTTAGAACTAAGAAAGCTCTTCCCTTAATCTGCTCAGTTCCTTCAAAAAACATTTCTTCAACATCTATTATGTGCTGGGCAACTGTGCTAGAAATGTAAAATGAATGAGGCAAGATTCCTGTCCAAGGCATTCACTTTCCCCTCATGCTTCACAAGACAAAATCATATGTATAAAATCCATCTCTACGTTTTAATAAAGGTTATTTAAATACCAATGACAACCAAATCTAAGCCAAATCACAACAGTCAACATTACACTAGGGCAACTGGAGAAGAACATATGGAAACCAGAAATATGTGGTGATAGTTTGGTTACAAGATATTTGAAAAGGAAGAAATAAAGATAATGCCATAACATCTATCTTGGGACTGGTAGCCAAACTAAATGAGTAGTTAGGTGAAATAATTCAAGCTTGGATTTACTGAGTTAGAGGAAATTTTATGACAAACAAGTGAGAATGCAGGCATTTGGAAATACAGAGCCAGAACACTGGTGAAAAGTATCACAATTTTCAGACAGAAAAATGGTCGGGGGTTGTCGGAAGAGCTAGAAAAAAATCTAAAGCACTGTAAGGACTAGGCAAGCACTGAGAAAGGTAAGGAAAACCAAGAAAACACACCATTATGGAAGTCAAAGGGCAACAACACTATGCAAAGTCCAGCATGATGAGCATTTAGTGAGATCAATGGAGAATGGAAAAGAACAGTTATTTTGACAATTTGAAAGTCATTATAGTGCTGTGATGAAGTTACAAGCTACATTGCAATGGGTTAAAAAAAAAGGAAACTGCAAATATTAGTATTTTTATCTTTACAGCTTAATACTTTCATTTATGATCCTTTCTTTCCTACTTTAAATTTAACTAGAACTTAACTGGCTAGGTATCACTACCTCCATGCTATTACTTACCATGCAATGCTGTTAGAAAATGACATCTTAAATAAAACTGAAAAGCAATAAGGGTCCTATCTTCCTTTATTTTATGCATATATAAACTAAATAAATGAGAACTATGTGGAAAATAGAAGGAAAAAGAAAAAGGTTTCTTTCAACGTTATGTCCTCCACACTATCTTTAGAAATCCACTCATTCCAGGAAAGCAGGCTCTAAGAAAAAGTCTTCAAAGTAAAAGATATGTTTCCACAGATATTTATCAGAATTAGGTTTCCACAGAAAATATCCTTCAAATTAAGCTGAAAATTTTGGGTGAAAAGAAGTCAATTTCATATTAGTAACTGGAACACCAAAAGTATAGGGTACATGCTAATGGAACTATCACCATCCTGCTGTTTCTTTATTATCTGCCGAACTTCACAGGTATTACATTCTGTTTAATTCTCTGACTTCAATGTGCCTCCTGCCTCTACTGTCACAGCCCTACTCTCCCACTGGGCCATAGGTGCTTTCTTTACCCATGAAGATTTAGTGATTTTCCTTCTTTATAGATCTGAGTAAAGCCTGAGTGCAAACACACCCTCATCAGTGCATTAACAGTGTTTGAGAACTAATTTCCTTTCTTCACAAATAAAGATAAAATAAGATACTTCTTAACGTATCAATTGGTACTTTAAAAAATATACGTTATAACTTTGAAGCAAAATAGCAAAGAGTGTGTTTACTTTTTACTAAAACTTTTAGATCTAAAATATAAAATAAAACAAAACAGAACAAAAATGCTTGGTATCAGCAAGGAAGTGGTGAAATGGAACTGTGCTCACACACTGATAATGTGAATAAAAACTGGTATGACATTTTAGAAAAAATGTAGCATTATCATGAATAGGCTTAAACAAATATAATCTCTGACTCAACCATACCTCTTTTCAAACTTTATCATTTAAAAAAAGATTCATATATGAACAAATATTTTGCATCAAGAATATTTATAATAACATATTAGAGTGATGTGGCCACAAGCTAAGGAATGCTGGCATCCGTCAGGAATAGTCAAGGAACAGATTCTCCTAGAGCCTGGTAGGGAGCACAGACCTGCCAACACCTAGATTTTGGCCCAGTGATACTGATTTTGGATTGACAGCCTCCAGAACTGTGACAGAAAAGAATTTCTTTTAAAGCCATAGAGTTTGTGGTAATTTGATACAGCACCCACAGGAAACTTACACAGGTAGTTTAGAACAAATTATTCCTAAAGTCTATTTTGTTTTAAGTGTTAGAATCATACAATTTGCTTTGTAAAGTGGAGAGAAAGTAAGGGATAAATATTTCCATGCAATAGTTTGGCTACCCCTATTGTATGTTTTTTCTTTCTTTTAAAATAGAAGTGAAGGAAATTAAATATTACAAATCCAAAGTTATCTATGGGAGGGAACAAATAGTATTATATTAACTTACTTTGCAGAGAACTAAATTTTGCTGTGTTATTATAAGTAATTTTATGGCCAACTTCTTTTGTAGGTACTTGTAGACCATATTTAGCTACATCTAAACAAATTGGAAAATGGTGAGAATAAACATAAAGAGAGTCATCTTCAGAGTAGTTTTTGGAGTTCTATGCTCATTCCCTGAATCTTTGGTGGCAAGGAAATTCTTCATTTGGTGCTATGTTGGGGCCCGTGAATCCTTATGAAGTGGTCTTGTGGAGTCATGTGGAGGAATGTGAATGCATTTGGTCCCAGACATAATTGTAGATAGAAGTCATACACCTGGATATGCCACTTTTAACAGTTTCACTAGAATTTTGTGTTATGATAGGAACTTGCAGGCACATTAATGTTGGTGTACAAATGTAACATGTATTTTCCCCTCCTTTTAGATTTACTTGTATGTGTAATACTGGGTCTAAAATTATTGTATTAAAACAGTATAAATTGAATGCCTACTAAACAAATAAAAATAATATTTATCATAACATTATTTATAGAAAATCACGGAAATTAGATGTCCAACAATAAAGACTCTGTTAAGTGAATGATGAAGTGATGGTTTTTGATATAATACCATCCTGTATTAAAAGGATGCTAGAACGCTGTGAATGTACTTAATGTCACTGAGTCATATACTTTAAAATGGCTAAAATGGTATTTTATTTTTAAATTGCTTAAAATAAACAAAATTTTAACATTTTAAAATTCATATATTTTACCACAATGAAAAAAATCACCAAAAAAGGTATAGACCATACACACACACACACACACACAAAACAGGATATTACAGAAAATTCAACAACATAGATTTTTTTTTAGATCAGTCTTTTAGATTAAAAATATATAAAACAAAATATAGGAGAAAATATATATATATATTTGATACATAGATGGGTAGAAAAAGAGACTAAATCTCTAAGCAGTAGAAGTATGGAATATTTTTATTTTTGATTATCTGTTTTCTTAATTATTATATAAAAACATAATTTTGTATAAAATATATGTGGGTGTACACATATAAGTTTATAAAAGAAGGTGGAGGTGAACAGTCAAAACCAGTAAAGATACATTTTATATGGCAATTATGACATAAACTCTTCTAATTTGATTTTGTATTAAAATACATTATTAAATCAGAGGTTTTGTTATCTATGAAACAAATAAGTCCCCTATTTAAAGTACTGTAATTTAGAAAACCACACATAAAAAGTTTATCAAAACATATACTCTACCTGTACTGTTAAGCACAAATCATAATTGGTCATCCGCCATTCTATCCATGTTGAATGCATGTGCATTATTTTTCACACATAAAGAGAATTCGTTATCTCTGATGGTTATATAAGGCCTTTGTTTCATAACCAAGGTTTGTAGTCATAATTACCTCTATAATTGATTTGTTTATTTGGGTCTAAAGAACCAAAGTAAAAATAATAATTAGGGTCAGTTCAAAGAACCACATAGAATTTGAAGTAACGTATCAATAACTAACTCAAAGAAACAGTCCCTAAGTGAAAGCATTACAGACATACTGCAGACAAGATTTTCAGCGTCCTAGCTCGTCAAGCTAGCACACATTTAAAAAAGTTAAGTCACAGCTTTTAAAAGGAATGTTGCTACATACATATATATATATATATTTATTTATTTATGGTTCAGTATTATGAAGTACAAAAGGAAAACCAATGAACCATCTCCCTCCGATCCAAAGGTTGTTAAAAATTAAGACAGAGTAATACTCTGATTTTTACCAACAAAACAGTATGTGCTATAACACTTCCAATCTGAGAGTTGTGCAACAGGTATAATTTAGCTTTTACAGAAAAATTCTTTTTGCTTAAAGTACATGCCCTATTCTTGACAACAATAAAAATAACAATAATAATGGTTAAGTACCTAACATTTAGTAAGCTCTTATGTGTGTCAAGAAGTATGCCAAATGCTTGACAAACATTAGCTCCTGTGATAACACCCTGTGAGAGATACCATTACCCTCATTTTACTGTTGAAGAATTCTTTCCCTCAGTCCTGATATGTATGAACTGTACTTCCAAACACACATCTCAAATCTGCCTACTCCCCAGTGCCACCAGCTTGGTTTCAAGTTCCACAATCTCTTGTCTAGACTTCAGCACATAACCTGTTTGTCTCTCTACTGTCACAGCTGCTGCCCGACAATTCATGCTTAACAGAGCAGACAGAGTGATCTTTTCAAGGCACATATCAGATTAGGTCACTTCCCTACTTAAAATCCTGCAATGGATTCCAATAACACACATAAAATATTACTAAAATCTCCTTATGACCTAACAAGGCACTATGTGAGCTGGCCACTCTCACCTCTCCCATCTCATTGAGCTTTACTAACCCTGTCTTCCACTTTTGGTTCCCTGGATATGACAAACTTATTTCAGTCTAGAGGACTCTGCAATTGCTGTGT